TTGATCCACGGACATTTTGTAAATATAGTTTTATAACTTTCATTTTAATGTTGTTAGAAAATTGCGAAATAAAACTTTTTAAATCTAATAATGTAACTTCTAAATGAGATTTGCGTGCCATTATTTAAATATGCATAAATTAATAATACATAGTAAACTCTATTATACTCTCGCTCTTAGAGAGAGAGAGAGAGAGAGAGAGAGAGAGTCGTTTACCCTACGCTTTGTGTTTATTTTTAATTAGACAAAATCAGTACTTCACTATTATTTCAATATTTTTGTTTAATGATAATTTAACACACTTGATTACCAGTGAATGGGGGGTAATATAAAGATATCACAATATAATGGCCTTATAGTGAACACTCATAAACAGGAAAACAACCAGGTTCAATTGTAGTATTTATTAAGATCATGTCCATTTAAATAAGATTTGTAAAAATTATTTAATATTTTAAATATACGTTAATATTTCCAATATTTATTACAAATAAAACTGAAAAATATACTAAACATATAAATGTATACAGATTAAATCATCATTTGCACCTTGTTGTTACCCCCGTATTGATTGTAATTTTGGTGGATAAGGCAAAGTTTATAATAGCAAAATGCTCATGATGAAAAATAAGTATTGATAGTGAAGGGGCATATATATGATAGTATACGATAGATATGGGAATATTGTGGAAAAAAAACAAATAATAATAAACAGCACAACAAATATAGATTATTATTGTTATTACAGTCTCTCTCTCTCTCTCTCTCTCTCTCTCTCTGTCCAGTAATACATTCATTGCTATATAAAACACAATGGTGGACATGATCTTAATAAATACTACAATTGAACCTGGTTGTTTTCCTGTGTAATAATCATTACGACTTCGAGAAATATATTGAATCCTTAGAGTAATACTTGTTTAATATGAAAGAATATTTTGATAAGAATATTATATAATAGATCCCAATATTATAATCATTGCATTGGAAAAAGCAATTATAATATTTATTATTTTTATAAACACTAAATATTCTGCACCAATAAATATAACATTTCAATCTAGATTATGCCCGAAACTTAATCCATTATGGTTAAGCCGTTTACGGGTATTTATTTACATGTATTTATCTTAATGAGAGTCACATACTATACATAATAACCAAAATCCTATTAATAAATCCATTGTGTTTTATATAGCAATGAATGTATTACTGGACAGAGAGAGAGAGAGAGAGAGAGAGAGAGCGAGAGAGAGAGA